GGGGGGGGGGTGAGGTGCCATCAAGTTGACTGTGACACAGCGATCCTCTGAACAGCAGATGTGAAGCCTGCTCTGCCCTTGTCATCCGTCTCCCCACTCCGTCCTCGTCTGTCAGGCTTGGGCGCACTGACAGTCCTGGGTCACTCAGGGCCTTCTCTGACCCTCCCTCCACCTTTCCCAGCTTGAACCTTTTTCCAAGGACTGTCTTCCTTCTGACACATGTTCAAATCCAAGGACTCTCCCTGTCGGCTGAGGCCTCTGGAAGCTTGAGCCCTGAATCCTTTCTCGGCTTCCAGTCCATCTCCCATCTCCACACAATCTGGGGCTAGTTTAGTGTGGAGTCTTTGTTCCCCTTTCTGACCTTTGCTAATTAACCAAACTGCATCTTCCCTAGGGGAGGAGCGTGCCTGCCCTTTAGATCCTGGTTCTCGGCAAGGTGTATACAGAGAACTAAAGCGTCCAGTTCGTCCATCCCAGCTCGTGTCTACGTGTGTCAGGGACAGTGAGACGGCTCAGGACAGAGCAGGGTACAAGCTAGTAAGCCTGGGGTCACTTCGAGTTGTAATCGACTTGATGGCACAAAACAAGTTGTTTATTCTTCCTCAAGAATTGGTTGTGAGCGAGCTCTAGTGGCCTAGTGGCAAGAAGCTGCACTGCAATCCCAGAGGTGAACAGTTCAAATCCACCAGATGCTCTTCTGGAGAAGGAGGGGCAATCTCCTCCTGTACCATTCAAATCTGATTTGACAGCGTGCGCGCGTGCGCGCGCGCGCGCACACACACACACACACACAAATACTAAAAATAAAATAAAAAAAAAGAATTGGTTTGGATTTCTACTCTGCCTCATGTTTTGAAATAACTTCCTTTTTTACATACTAAATAGCTTTGTGTGGTACGTCAGCTGTTGCTGTCACGTCCCACTGACACAAGTACGCCTCACAGCGACCCTCTGAAGAGCAGGTGTGAACCGCGTCCTGTCCTGCGCCAGCCTCACCGTCTCTGACACACCTGAGCCCACTGCTGCAGTCACTGTGTCCATCCACCTGGCTGAAGGTCTTCCTCTCTTTGGCTATCATCCGGCCACCTTCCCGAGCATGACGTCCCTCTCCAGGTAAAGCCTGTCCTTGCAACATGCTCGAAGCATGCGAGAGGAAGCTTCCCCATCGTCTCCAAGCAGCACTCTGGCTGCAACTTAACTTGTATCAGTAACAGGGCCAACCCTTTAGCTGACATCAATGACAAGGCCTGTCCCCGAGGCTGGCGAGCACGGGAAGCCCTTACCCCTCAGCCTCCTGCCCACGGCCTGCTCTCCTCCCTAACCCCCGACAGTCTAGCGAGTGCCCCTTACCTTCGATCGAGCTCCGAGTCACTGAAGGAGGAATCAGAGTGCGTAACTCCAACTGGCGCATCCTTTTCCTGGCAGGAAGATGGACACGTCAGTGAGCAGCAGTCGGGGACGCCCCCAGAGAACATCTGTTCCTCCCGTGCCCCCAGCTTTCCCATTCTTCAACCTTGTGATCAAAAGTGAACGGGAGTACCGTGGGGGTCTCCAAAGCAGGATGACATATAGCTCCATTACCCCTGCCCTCAGGGGGCTTTGTGGCCAGGTTATGTGGGTTTGGCGCCCGGGGAGGACCACGGGGAAGTGTGAAAGGATGATGGGAATGCACAAACAGGAGCCGGGGAAGGAGAGAGAGAAACTCCAGAGTCAGGAACCTACGTTGGCAGCTGGGGATGACAAGCCCTCCAGGGGCCTTTCCAGGTGAGTGTGACCTTCAAGCTACCCACCCTGAGCTGGGCTTGGAGGGAAGTGACAACGGCCTGGATTTAGCATTCAGGTGTGGACCTAGTCTGAGGTCTTTCCAGATACTCTCAGGATAGGATTTGCTGTGAGGGGAGGGGAGGGGGTCGGGAAGGGGGTGAAGGCAGCACTGAGCCCCAGAATCTTCGTTAGCCACGTGTGTGACCCCTCCCAGGCAGCCCCCCTTCCAACAGAGGGAAGGTGCGTGGATTCATGCAGAACCAGGCCCCGCACTGGAAGTGTGCCCTCCTAGACAGGGCCCCTTCCAGCAGAGGGAAGGTGTATTGATTCTTGCAGAACCAGACCTCACACGGGAGCCTTCAGTTCTGATTCATTTAGAATCCATGTGCTACCCGGTGTCTAACGGGGACAGCTCTGGCCTGAGCTCTTGGTCATTTCTGCAACCACTGAGAGCGTCAGGGGGCTGTGTGGGCAGAGAGACGGGGTGAGTGTTTTGCCCCACGTGAAGGCTTATTAGCGTGTGTGGGCTCTGACTCGGTTTCTGTATAATGAGCGCCCCAGTTCTTGGGAACGCTGCCTAGCACAGAGATGCTCCCCAGGCCCCACAGCCCTGGAATCCCCGAGTTAGACGGCACTCCACCGGGAGAAGGGCTTGTCAGCGGGGAGGGAGAGGTGCCGCATGGCGTTACTTACTGGCAATGCAGTGGATACTGTTTTGGGGATCTGGGACACTTTCCATGGGAAGCTTTAGAACGGAGGGAGGAGGGAACTGGGGCTGGAGAGAAACAAGGAGGGAAAGCTGGTAAACGCCACCAACACAGCAGGCTTGGCTTCCTTGCCAAGAAGGGACACCGAGGCGTCCGGCGGGCACACCACCACCGGCTTCACATCCAGACTAACCCGTTCGACGGGATCAAACCCCCAAACTCATCAGTGCCACCAAGTCCACCCCGATGCCCAACAGGCCCACAGGACAGAGTACAACGGTGGGCACAGGGCTTCAGGGGCTGCAGATGTTGATAGGAGCTGAGCGCCACCTTAACCTCCTGGGGAGTGGCTGGGAGAATCGAACCCCTGACCGTTAACAGCTTAAAGCTTTTCATCATGGTGACACCAGGGCATCTACTCAACAGGGCCACATGCATCTGAGGAACCACGGAAGGAGGGGAGACCCACACCGTTTCCTGCTGAGACATGGGGCAAAGTGGGGTGAGGGTCTACGACTCAGCAGACAGTTGGAGCACGGCGACAGGTCACGTGGAAGGGAACCTCAGACGGCATTGTCAAGAGGCGGGAAATCATCTGTAACTTGAACTTTGCTTTGCCACTGAATGTATCGTGTGCCCCAGAGATGCGTTTCCCCAACCGTGGAATAGTTCCCGGCACACGGCAGCCAGTCGATTGTTTATTGCATCAATCAGTGAGAGGATAAATGTCTTTAAAGGGCATTTCAACTCTTAAGCTTCTTTTCTTTCTCCAGAAACCACCTTTCCTGTCTACTATCCACCGGGAACACGGGAGTGAGTGAAGGTCTGATCCCTCCCGGGAGAGGACAGTAATCTAGGACCGGACAGTAATCTAGGACCAGGAGAGGGCTCGGCAGGCCGCCACCAGAGAGGTGGTTCAGCCGCCAGCAGTGTGCCGGCAAGGATCTGCCTTCACCTACACACAGCTTCTGTAGGCAAAGGCCAGGTCAGGGGACAGGCAGCGTGGGTGCTGCGGACAGGGGTGTGGGTCAGACTGGGAGAACGGGAAGGTAGCCACGATGTGTGGGGAAGCCAGAGGGAGCTCAAGCCACTGGGAAGGCCGTGGTCAGGCGCACAGTGAGGCCACTTAGCTGTGTGTCCATCCTGAGTAAGTCACTTCCCTTTTAGGGGACAGTCTCATCATGTGTTAGGAGCACTGGAATTAGACAGTCTTTCAGCCGAATGTGTACTATTATCTCCCCCAGCGTATGCGGTGGGCAGGTGGGTCAGTGGGGTAACTAGATGATCCCAGACTTCAGTCCTCACAGGAGGACGTGGGCCCTTTCTCAACTACGCGCTTGGAGCTGGCCATGCCCGCCTGCCTGTCCAGGGGTCCAGTGAATGCCCTGCCTATTCCTGAGGCCCACCAGACACCCCTCAGACCTCATTCCTTCTCTGCAGGCCCCTCCATTCCTCTGATGGAGCCTGGCCTGAGGTTATCAGGGATGGACCTGGGCTGCTATCCACAGCCTGTGGTCATGGGCCGAGTGGGTGCGGCCAATCAGAGATTTCTTGGGGGGACGTCGACCTCCCGCCGACCCACTGAGGAGGTCCCATACAGGTGAGCTCTCTGGACCCACACCGGGCCGAGAGGCCGCTCGAGCTCATCTCGGGCCGGGCCTGCAGGTCTCCGCCTCGGGCGGAGGGGAGGGGCCGCCTCGTGCTCTCTCTCCGCTCAGGCCTGCTGGCCTCCCCACCTCCTCGTCACTGTCCTCATGCGCCCCCTTCCTCTTCTTCTTCTTCTTGTCCGTCTCCTTTTTCTCCTTCTCTGGGAGGATGTTGTCGATCCAGGCCAGGTCATGCTGGGAGAAGACGAAGTCCAGAAGCCTTCGGACGATGATGAGGCCCAGTATCTGCAGGGGTTAGACAGAGAAGCTGCGGCCTGGTGACAGGTCAGAGGACCGTGTGCTCGGCGTCCCCCACACCCTGCTCACTCAGGGACCCTTCTGGTCAGGAGCCATCTCGAAGCTCCTGCCCACCACTATTTGCTGGCCTCTCACTTCACTGCTTTTCACCTGACCCTTCCACAGTCAAACGACCACGTCTACCAGTGACAGACAGGACTTGCGATGAGCTGAGGGACGAGGCTGGACCAGGAGAACTCGGTGGATGCCAATGGTGTGCCAGCCCAAGTCACGGAGCCCTGACGGACGATGAAACCAAGTGCAGCCCCACCGAGAGCCATCCCCATGGTGGCTTAGAGAAACTGGAGCCCCGCCGCGGACCACCCCCCAGGGGCTTAGAGAAAACTGGAGCCCCACCGCGGACCACCCCCCAGGGGCTTAGAGAAAACTGCAGCCCCGCCGCGGACCACCCCCCAGGGGCTTAGAGAAAACTGCAGCCCCGCCGCGGGCTACCCCCCAGGGGCTTAGAGAAACTGCAGCCCCGCCGCGGACCACCCCCCAGGGGCTTAGAGAAAACTGCAGCCCCGCCGCGGGCTACCCCATGGCTGCTTAGCGGTCCTTGGAGCTTCCACTGGGCCTTTTACAGAAGATTCCTTTCCCCCAGTCTGTCTTATTTAGAAGGTCCAGATCTTAGCAACTGTTGAGCATCACAACGACTTACAAGTCCCCCGTGACGGAGAGGTGGTGGCCCTGGCCCTGCGTGAGGTTCACCAAAGCTGGTCTCGCTCACGGCAAGCCAAGATTCCACCACTAGTCTTCAGTGGTTCTCAAATATCAGCATCAGCTACTTGAAAAAAGAAGACTGTGGGGCCCTACCCTCAAGAGTCGGATTCAGTAAGCCCAGGTGCAGCCTGAGCGAGAATCTGCGTCTCTAACAAGTGTGTCTTGGAGGAGGTGCAACCAGCGTGCTCCTCAGAGGCAACAGTGAAACGGGGTCTCATTTTGACTCAACAGTGAAATGTAGGCTTGTTGTCAGGAGGGGCCAGACATCCTGCTGGGAGTGGCGGGGTGTCAGAGAAAGAGAAGATGACCCTCAACCAGATGGAAAGACACAGTGACCGTAACCATGGGCTCGGGCGTCTCACAGACGGTGAGAACGCGCAGGGCAGGGTCAGAGCTTGTTCAGAGTCGCCATAAGTCATAGTCAACTTGACGGCACTGAACAAGTTCAAGTAAGACGTTGAGCTGCAGGCCTGAGGACCACTCGTCTAACGGATTCCTTCCTGTCTCCAATTCTGAGGGCGGCAAATCGCTCTGAAAAGTACAGACGGTTGTCTGGAGTTCTTCAAGGGATGTTTAGAAAGTCTGATTCTGTTCTCACAAATCCAAGAGGGAGACATGTGCATGGGAGACGCTTTCTCTTCGCCTAGTGCTCACATTCTGATCAGCTCAGCAGGCCCGGGGTGGCTCTCTGTGGATAGTGTCCTTTCACCACCAGGAGCTGGCCGTTAACTGTGGTCAGGGAGGAAGCTTCCAGCTGGACCACACGCTGGCTCGATGCTGACATGGCTTCGAGGGGGCAAGGACACCGGGGAGGAGGGGTAACTGGGGTGTCAAATCTCTGGCTCTGAACAGAGTCAGAGCTGCTGAGCACAGGGGTGGGTGTGGTGTCCACACAGGGCAGCCTGGGGAACGTGGGGTGCTGGGAGAGCTGTTCCGCAACATGACTGCGGTGTGGGACTCAGGTGGAGCATGGCAGAAGGACCTTGGCTCTGCCCCTTCATGGTATGTGACTCTCTGAGCCTCAGTTTTCTCATCTAAAAAATGGGGTGACCAATCTTACTTTTGAAGATAAAGAACTTCAAAACCCAATGGCTTCAGTATACTGTTTGGACACGCAGGAGTATTCGGACAGCTTTTGTGCATCTGATGTAAAAACCCGGGCAGCGTGAGGATTTCAATAGCCTGGTGAGTAAGGAGCTACGATGCCAACTCAAAGGCAGGCGATCCCAGTCCACCAGCTGCTCCTCAGAAGACGAACAGTCTCCTCCCAGGCCATTCGCAGCCTCTGAAAACCCACTGGAGGGTCAGCGGGGAGTCAGCTCTGACTTGACGGTGCATAATGGCAACAACCATACTTGGAGGACTCCTGGTGGCATAATGGTTATGTGCTTGGCTACTTAACCCAAAGGTTTATGGTTTGAACTCGCCCAAAGGGCTCACAGGTCAGAAAAGGCAGCAGTCCACCTCGTCCAGACTGTCGTCATTATATTCTGACTCAGAGGGAACCGAGAGCTGACTCCCTCGGGGGTTTCAAGGCTGCAAACTGCACGCGACTGCCCTTTCTTCTCCCTCAGAACAGCTGGTGGCTTTGAACTTCATCTCTTTGGTTTGATAGCTCAATTCCTTACTGCTAAGCCACCAGTGCTCCCTAATCCTTGCGTGGTTCCCAGACCAACCTGCCTGCTCCTGGGGTCCCCGCCCCAAGCCCAGGCCAAGGCCTGGAAGACGGCATCTGCCTGGGGTCAGAGACATCCTACTGCAGGCTACTTCTTGCTCTTTTCATTTTTTTTAAGGAATGTAAAAATTACAAAAGATTTGTCAAATCAAAGTCCTCCTGCACATCCAAACATTATGTTAACACCCTGAGGTTTGGAAGCTCGTGCTCTCTGATCTGAATTCTCTCTCTCCCCTCTGTCCCACCACTTCTGGGCTTGAATCTCATTCTATTGAGCATGGATGTGCTGCGATTGGCTTGCACTTGGCAGTGGGGTCCCTGGCATCCCTCCTGGGCCTGGCTTCTCTGCCCCACACAGACAGTGGGGTCCATGGCGTCCCTCCTGGGTTTGGCTTCACTGTCCCCGCAGACAGTGGGGTTGGATGGCTTTTGCGCAGTGGCTGTGCTGTGTGGTGGGCGTGGGGAGTTGTGCCCAGACAGGCCCTTCCCTGCCCCCTCCCCCACTTCATCCCCAGGTGACCCCTCCCTCCTCACCATGACGGGGAAGATGATGGCGGCCACGGTGGACTTGAGGACCCACAGCACGGCCAGGCAGAGCACCTGCACCAGGGTGAAGAGGTGGATGCGTCGCAGCGGCACGTGGCGCAGGAAGGCGTAGTCCGGCTGGTGCTTGGCCGGCATCAGGAAGAGCTTGCAGCGGTCCCAGAACTGAGAAGAAAGCGCACACTCAGCCCTCGTGGGCTGCTGCAGCTGGGATCCCCCCACGCTAGGGGCTCCCACAGAGCAGCTCTGGTCAGGCCTCAGTCACACAGGAGGGCCTGAGGGTGTCTAAAAAGACAGAGGGGGGCTCCAGGGGAGGCCCTGGACCTGGGCACAGTCACAGCCCCAGGACTGGCTGCAAAAGAGCCCTGCCGGCTGCAAGACAACCTAACCTGCCAAGCAGAAACCACCTAACATCTGGGGTCCCATGGCCAAAAAAGGGCAAACGGCTGCTTCTCAGGGAGCTTCCTATGAAGGAGAAAATTCCAAACCCACTGCCAGGGAGCCAACTCCTCGCTGACCCTCCAGCGAGTTTTCAGAGGCTGCAAACCCCGTGGGTGGAGACGGCCTGTCTCAGAGCAGTGGACAGAGTCCAGCAGCCAGAGAGATGCCACCCTCAGGGAAGCAGTAGACTCCTCTCCAGAGCTCACCTCCTCATGGTGTCGTGGAAATGAGACTCGAATGCAAACCAACAAAAAAACATTTTCAAAAAGCAATAAACTTCTGCACCGAAGAATTATAGAAATGCAGAATACCCCAGATATAAATATTTCCCTGGCTGAACAAGCGAGTCAAATATTTCAAAATCTAAAAAACTGGTTTCCTTCAGTAACTTCATTTAGAAATTTTCTGTTTACGATTGTTGCTCTTTGTATTGTTATCATAGGTATACTATGGGTTCTCCCTTGTGTTGGTGATATAATAGCCAAGCGTTATAAAGAACTGCTGTGTAAAGTGCATGGAATTCAACTTAAGGCCCTCCCCAGACAAATGCAGGATGTGTAGCCAAAGACGGGCAAGGAACGAGACTCGCTCATGATCGTAAGACAGGGAGTAGCACTGACTGCTATGATCCCAGAGACGGGCAACTTGAGTTTGAGGTCTCATATCCACCCAAGACAGGCAGCATCCCATATTTTAGTATATTAAGAGGGAGGAGCTGTCGGGAACGGGCTAACCTGCAAAGCAGGATCAGCAACGCCTTGTGAAAACAGCAGGACCACTCATCTTGGCTTGACCATCCCTTCTACAGTAAACAACTCCAGGGAGCAGTATGCTAATGAATAGGGAGTGACTAAAGGCCTCAGAATTCTAGGAATGTGATACCTTCTTGTTTTCCAATAGATATCATAGGATATCCCGGAAGATGTCTTTGTTTTGTGTTGAGGTCTGGGAATGTTTGCTCTACCAGTCAACATCTCAGACAGATAAGAGATAATGCAATTACCCCTGCAGGCATGTTCCTAAGACGCGCGCCTGTGTACCCTTGCCAGAATATTAAACTTGCTATCTGTCACCAGCAAAAAAAAAAAAAAAGCAATAAACTAACGATCCAACTTGTTGCTGTTGTGTACCGTCGAGTCGGAACCGACCCATGGCTGACCCTCCGGCGGCTTTTCAGAGACAGTTAATCGCACAGGAGGAGAACGCCCACCCTTCTCCTGTGGAGCAGCTGGTGGCCTCGAACTGCGTACCTTCAGAATTGCAGCGTAGCCTTTTGCCACTAGAGCTCCAAATTTCATTCTGTCATTTTCACTATTTAGCACAATATCAATGTCAATGTCTCTCATCACATGTTGTATGAAATAACTAACGCATAGATTAGAAAAAAAAAATCTCAACACCTGGGCCAATGACATCAGATCTTAAAAATGGAGGATATAAAGAAGTACTTTTTTTTTTTCTCTTTTACAAAAAGAAGGATAATTACACCACACTAAGAAGCATGCCGGGACAAGCTGACATCTTTTCGGGGTAACCCCTCAGGGCCACTGGAGTGATGTCGCTGTCCATGCAGCAAATGGCAGTGCCAGTGTCAGTGCTGTTCTTTCACTGAGCTGGGGTCTTGGTGACCCCGAGATACTGCCCAAGCGGCTACAGATCAGACCAACCTGGGGAGGGCAGAGCCTTACCTGGATGCCGTTCAGAGAGGCCACTCCCATGTAGAGGAAAACTCCATACAACACCGGCATGGGGATGTACTAGAACGAGAGGTGGGGAGAGGCACTCAGCCACACGGGGGCCCCCACGTCCTGGAGACTGTCTGCCAACCCCTGGAGGTGGCCTGGCCTAGCCCAGCCTGCCCTGTGTCGGGGAGCAGCCCTGTGTCAGGGAGCAGCCCTGTGTCGGGGAGCAGCCCTGTGTCGGGGAGCAGCCCTGTGTTGGGGAGCAGCTGGATGCCTGCAGGAGCCTGATCTGCAGCCAGAGGGGGCAGCGAGGTGGGGTGGGGAGGGAGATGAGGAGCTTTGGGCTCTCGCAGCCCCTTCTCTGACTGGGGTTGCAGGTCTAGAGCAAAGCTGCTCTCTGGCCCTGCCCTACTTGTAGCCTTGTGGCCCCCACGTGATCTGGCTGACAACATCACCTCTGCAAAGTGAGAACACGTCACAGACACCACCCCATCCTTCCAGTCAGCCTCTTCCCACCTGCAGGTCCATACGAGGGCCCCACGCAGGAGCTGCACTGCCCAGAGGAGAGGCTGCCATGTGGCCTGCAACCTCACTGAGCTGGGCGACATTAGCAGGGCGTGCCCGGATTCCTACTCTACCAGCAACGCGGGACCGAGCGCTGCCCTGCAGAGTCCCTAGGAGCGCAATCTTCACGGAAGCTGGGCGCCACATCTGCCGGAAAGCCGCTTCTTGTTACGTGCCGTTTAGTCAATGATGACTCGCAGCAACGCTCTGAACAACAGAAGTGACTCCTGCACCATCCTCACCGTCTCCCACATGCTCAAGTCCACTGTCACGGTCACTGTGTCAGTCCATCTCCGTGAGAGGCTTCCTCTCTTTTTCTGCTCATCCTCCACCTTTTCCAGCGTGATGTCTGTTTTCCAAGGGCTGGTCCCTCCTGACAACACGTCCAATGTGAGACTAGGTTCCACCATCCTCGCCTCCAAAGGTCACCCTGATTACCCTTCCTCCAGGACAGACTTGCTTGTTCTTTTGGCCGTCCACAGGATACGGAGCACTCTTCTTCAACACCACAACTGACAAGCATCAATTCTTCTGTTGTCCTTGTTCACTGTCCAACTTTCTGATGTATAGAAAGCAACTGAAAAGATCATGGCTTAGGGCAGGTGCACCTTAGTCTTTAAAGTGGCATCTTTGCTCTTCAGCACTTTACAGATGTCCTTGACACCAGATTTCCCCAGTGGAACCCATTTTTTGCTTTCTTGACAACCATAGATGGTTTATGGTGCATCTATGTGAAATAAGGTCACGGACAACTTCAATCTTTTCTCTATCTGTAATGATTATCATTATGTTGCCTATGGTCCAGTGGTGGTGGGGAATTTTGTTTTCTTGATGTTGAAATATAATCCATATTAGAGCCTAGCAGAGTCTCTACTGGGTTCAAACTGTTCACCTTTGGTAACTGAGAACTACTGTCCCACCAGGGTACGAGTACCAAGGACCCTTCACAAATCATCCAGCATGATCTGTGGTCACTGAGCCAACTCCTGGTGACCTGGGGTGTGTCAGGGCAGAACTGTGCTCTATAATCATTCAGAAGGGGTTGGTTTGTCACAGGCATATGCTGTGGCTCTCCTCTGTGTCACCTCTCGCTGGTCGTGACCCTCCAACCTCTTATTTAACAGTTGAGTAACAATCATTTGCATCCCTGGGACTCCCCATCTATCATACACACTCGAGGAAAATCCCCACCACATCAGAAGTGTATTCACTCACTACGCTATAATCTCAAAGGTATAGGGTTCAAATCCACCAGCTGCTCTGCAGGAGACAGATGGGCAGTCTCCTCGCGTGTGATCCGTGGTCTCTGGAAGCACAGGGGAGGGTCAGCTCCAACGTGAGAGCACACACGCTCCACTGCGCACTGCTGGCTTGGAGATGTCCTTCCTTCCACACGTCCACTTAGAGCCCGCTGGATTTTACAGAACAGGATCATCCCCTCAATAGTGGTCTGCAGTCGGCATGACTCCAGACTCCGGGAAAACCTTTTGGGGAATTAATTCCTCTGCTGTTTCTGAGATTCTGCCTCTTCTTTCCTTCTTTGGACCTGTGACCCGCCGCTCTGAACAAAGTAAATTACCTCCCACTCAGGCTTGCTGTGCTGCGATTCTCTGAAGACCACGAGATACTACAAGGATACGGAGTGTCCAACTTTTGTGGGTGCCATTAGGTGCCATCCAGTCAAGTTCAGTGTCTTCACTAGGCAACATGATGATAGAGGGAGCAAAGACTGAAATGTCCACAAGTTCATTGTGCTTCACAGTCAACGCCCAGGTTACTACCAGTCGAGAAATCGAAAGACATGGGACAAACGTGTGGCCAAGGACGGCTCCACTGCTCAAGAGCAACGATGTCCGTTTGGAAACTAAGCTGCACCTACTCCAAACGACAGTATTTTCAACTGCTTCCAATGCAGCAGAAAGGAGGATGATGAATAAGGAAGACAGAAGAAGAACTGATGCTTCTGAATTGTCAGGTTGAAGAAGAGCACTGAATAGGCTGGAAAAAAACCAACCCAAACGCGTTTGTCTTGGAGGTAGTGTTGTCAGGGCGCTCCTTCGAAGGATGCGGAAAGTTTGCCGCACATACGTTGGGTGTGTTGTCAGAAGGGGGATGTTCCTGTAGAAAGACATCACGCTGGGAGAGGTGGAGGGTTAGAGAAAGAGAGGAAGACCCTCGGGGCGACGGACTGACGCGGTGAGATGCCTCGAGCGAGTCTGTCTGCACAGGACGGGGCAGGGCTCAGCTGCGGTTCAAAGGGCTGCTGGGAGTCACAGCTGACTCTGCACACACACAACAACAACAACAACGTACATTCTGCCCCATGAGAGTGGGTACAGTTTTTGTAAGGTGTCACCATTTTCATTCTTTCCATTCTTATGGGTTTTTTTGTTTTGTTTTTTTTATCTAACGTCTTTGCTCCATTTACCTTCTCATCTGTGTTTTATGGTAAATACTGACTGTTTCATACTGGTGACTATATAAAAGAGCAAAATACTCGCAATATTTATTTATGTTGTTGTTGTTATGTGCCGACTCACAGCGACCCTATGTACAACAGCCCTAAACTCCGCTCTGTCCTGTGCCAATCACACTGTCTCTGACACTCCCATCCTGATTATCCCAGTCACTGAATCAATCCACCTCATAGAGGGCCTTCCCCTCCTGCGCTGTCCCTCCACCCTCCCAAGCATGACGTCTCTCTCCAAGGACTGGTCCCTCCTTACAACATGTCCAAAGTATGTCAGACAAAGCCCCAGAATCCTTGCCTCCAAGGAGCAGCCTGGTTTAACCTTCTCCAGGACAAATCTGTTTGTTTTCTTGGCAGTCCATGGTACATTCAATATGCTACTCCAGCACCACAGCTCAAAGGCATCAATTCTCCTTCTGTCCTCCCTAGTCACTGTCCAACTCTCTGATGCATAACAAGTGATTACAAAGACCATGGCCTGTGAGCCAATCTATTATTTGGCTAACAAGTGACCTTCAGGAGTGGGTTCAGTGTCAAGTTTGAAGAGTACCTCAGGGTAAGTCTCAGTGGATCCTCGACGAATTCCAGATTTTTTAAAAAAGGAATTTGGGGTTTCTTCAATATTACCTCTCCATTCTGCCCAGAAGCAGCTACTGAGCCCCTGGTCAGACTGTTTGCCTTTGGTGGGGGGGGGGCAGGTTAACATGTAGGTAACCAAATGTTTAGCAGTGCTGCCATTTTTTCCATGCGTGGTCACTGACATTAACTACGCTTCTCATGGTGCTCAGCCATCACCATTAACCTTTCCCCTTGTGAGTTTTCAACTCTGGAAAGAAATGAGCTTTGGGGGCTCCAGGAAGCCACACACCACAAGCTCCTGATGCTGCAAGGGATCCAACGTGGAAGAACTTGGTGAGGTGAGAGTGTCCTCCAGAAAGATGGGGTGCCCTCAGCGGGTGGGGAGGAGCAGGGAGGGCTGCCTTGTTTTTCCTGTGTATGCCATCAAGCAGCAACCGACTCACAGCTGACCCTCCAGCAAGTTTTCAAAGGCAGAAAAAACCCACAGGAGGAGATTGCCCATCTTCCTCCCGCAAAACAGCTGGTGGATTTGAACCGTGTGCCTTTGGGTTGGCAGCACAACTCCTCACCACTAAGCCACCAGAGCTGAGAGCTGCCTGGCAATGACAATAGTGCTGTAGTATCGCAGGTAGAGAAGCTGAGCCCTCCTCACCCGAGGCCCCCACCAGAACTCCCCAGGTGGAGGGTCTGCGAGCGGAATTGGGGCTGGACGGGGTGTGGAGCCTCACCTTCAGGATGGGAGCCAGGAAGACGGAGATGCCGGTCAGGATAAAGACGATGATGCCGGTCACCCTCTGTTCCCTGGCAGAGACGGGCACAGGGTTAAGTGGGGGAAGCTCAGTGGCCATTCCAGCCCCTCCTGGCCTCTAAGGCCCCTGAGGTGTGTCCCCAGGGCTTCCCCACGTGGGGTCTACCTGCTGTCCAGTTCTAGGAGGACCCCTGGGAGAAGGGGGAAGTTTCAGACTCAGGCAGAGTTATTTTATAGGTGCCTTCTCAGAAGGCTGTTTGCCATCAGGGGTAACAGCCGGGATGCCAGACGGAACTGACTTAGACTGAATCCTTTCCTCTCCATTAGCTACGTGGCCCCAGGCAAGTCCCTGTAATTGTCTGGAGCCCCAGAGGAAGGGAGATAATAATGACCTTGACCTCATCAGGATGATTAACTCTGATAGAAAGGGCTTATTATCCCCATCCTTTGATTATAACGGGACCTGCACTTTTATAAGGCGTAACAAACAGGACAGGACAGGCAGACACAGAATGGAGGAAGAGGCCTGGCTGTCGGACAAGCAAACCTTCTGAAATTAGGGGACAGGACTGTATTTTCCCCAGTGCCCAGGGACAGCATCGTCTGCCCAGATTAGAGCTGGGTCTCTAGGGCTGACTGGGTCTGAGGACCTAAAAAGGGCCAGTGCTGTGCTCTGCGGTCTGAACGTGAAGCCTTGCTTGATCGGATACCAGGGCCACAGGGAGAAGCTCGCACAAGAGCCACTTCTGAGGACGGGGTGTGCTGGCTCTGGAGGCCCTAGGAGACAGAAGGAACCCTCTGAGGACAGGCCAGGGACCAGGCATGGGACACAAGACAAGACAGGAGAAGGAACAGGCTGCAGCTCGGGGAGCTGGGGGTCTCGGAAAGATTTTCCCAGAGGAAGAGAGGTTGAGCAGGACGTAGAGGAGGGATGTGGTCGGAGGGAGTCTTGAAGAGGAGGCAAAAGGGTCCTGTGGGGGCTGCGTGTGGTCTGCATGGTGCTTCTGTGCGGACATGGGAACGGGAATGTTTGCCTGGAGTCTGACAGGAAGCACCCCCCCTCAGGAAGCTCATTCCAGCCCCACTGGTTCCTGGCTGGACAGAGGCCATTTTCACCCCAATACCTCGGTCCCCCAGTCCCTCCTACCTCACCCCCAGGAACTGGGGTTGCTCTCCGGGAGCACTGGTCTCTGTCTCCATCTTGAGGCTGTCGATGTGGGCAATGGAGATGACTGTGGCGGCCACGTACCAGGGAAGGCCCGTGAAGGAGCACAGGGCCATGAGGACGCCCACCCAGAAGAGGTCCAGATGGTAGCCAGCAGCCTTCTGCACGGGGGCAGGGGGAAGCACAAAGGGAGAAGCTGTCTGGGGAGCCAGTTCCGGACCGCCGGGACGAGGTGTGGCGCACGGCACCGTCCTCAGGCGCCTTTGCACGGAGCAGGCTTAGGAGCTCCTCCTGGCCTTCCGGAAGGTACTCTGTGGGGGGGGCCACAACCCTGGGGCGCCTCTTAGTGAGGGGTTCAGAGGTGCACAGGCCTTGATAGCCTCAGAGGTGGCATCAGCTTCCACTTCTGGGTGCTGGGGAGAGGGCCCTCAGCCAAACTCTGCAATTGCTGAGAAGCCCAGCTGGGATGGGCTTTAGCCAGCTGAATGGGCCTGGACTTGCACAGGAAGTGGTGATGAATCTTCTCAGACCCAGAGGCAAGGAAGGAGCTACAGGGACCAGGAGGGCCAAAGAAGCCCCCCTGTACATGGTGCCTGGTCTATGCCCCTGTGAAGATCTGCTCAGACTCCCAAGTTTGCTGGCAGGAGGTACACAGATGGAGGTGCAGAGGGGCCTCTGGGAGAGGCAGGGACTCTGCCCAGGCCCCACCTTGGCCTCCTCTGGACTTGCTGGTCCTCAGATCGTGCTGACCTGGCCCTAGTGGCATTACCTGCATCTGATGTCATGATTCCCCCCGAGACACACCAAGTAGGACTGTAGTCTTCTGGTCTCATATTTTCATTTACAAACAGTCCCAGATATTGCAAGGTGCACCAGGGCTCTCCTCCACTCCCGACTTTGTGGGGAAGGGTGGCACCTCTGCTTTGGGTGCTGACCTTACCTTCAGCTTGTTCTCCTTCCGGTTGACAATGACGGCCGTGATCTGCTGGTCCATGAAGATCAAGATGGTCACCAGCAGGGCGGGCAGGATACTAGCTGGGTACACCCACCACGGGTTCTTCCCAAAGGGGGCCACAAACCAGCCGCGGTCAGGCCGTGTGGGCTGAGCAGGAGCAAAGGCAAAGGAGAGGGGCCTGACCTCTCCCCCACGTTCCGTCCACTTCCCGGCCCACGCCCACTCTCCTGGCCCTTCTTGCCTCCACCCCACCTGGTGTGCATTTCAACTGCAATCTCTCCCCTTAAAGAAATTAGATACCTGCAACTCGAGAGTAAAGAGATCAAGGAGGCAGGGGAACACTGGGAGGAGCATGAACACAGAAGCTCTTTGTAGAGACAAAGAAATGACCAACTGTGGAAACTCTGGGCTTGATTGGGAACAGGGAGGTGGAGAGTCAGCAAGTGGTGACAGAAAGTACGTCATTGGTCACTAATTGTGAAACAGCAACTGGCAGAAAACAGACCCAACAGGCAAAGGAGAAAAAAAGACTTCCATCAATCCACCCCCTGACCCTTCTGCCTCCCTGCGGGTCACCTGTCTGTAGAGCATCCTACGCAGCATCAAAGGTTTCTATCCAATCAAACTCTGCATATTGAGAATAAGGGAGGGTTGTGCAGGGAGTGAGCTGAAGCTGACCATTTATTAATAGAAAAGAGTTTAATTTTAAAGGCCAGAATGAATCGTACAAGATTAGCTTAAGAGACTTACAAGAACACTGAAAGAATATCTCCAAGATCAAGGCCACAAAGAGCCTGGCTGTTGAACTTCGATCAACACCCTGATTTAGAGGCTGGTGCTCCTCATGGAGGGGCTGGGCTTGAACTTGGCAACAGACAACTGGCACCAACTCGGGATGATATGAAGCACTGATTCTCCAATTAGAGCCTGCTTCAGAATCCCCTGTGGGGGCTTGTGTAAAATGAAGATGGTTGGACCCACTCCCAGAGTATCCAATTCCAAAGGTCTGGAGTGAGTCCAAGACTCTGCATTTCTACCAAGTTCCCAGGTGATGAAGTGAAGAACCTCACCTGGGGACCACATTTTGAGTACCACTGTCCCAAGGGCCTGTGAAGAGCCTGGGTATTAGAGACCACCAAGTAGAACTCAAATTGTGTCACTAGCAACTGCGGGTAGATTCCGGAACATTCTCCCCCGAGACTCTGCAACATAATCTCACTGTGTGCCTGTCTGCACCCGACCATCACCAGGCCTTAAGAATTGAGATCACTGTAGATCTGCAAGGACCTTCTCCAGGGTGGGCTGGGAGGAGGCTGGGGTGCAGCACTCACAGCAGACCACCAAGGCCACCAAGAGAAGCCAGTTTAAGGGGAAAGACCTGCAGCTGATGGACAGGTAGAAAGAGTGGCCTGAGCAGAGGTGGTGGGCAAACCTTGATGACACTGGGCACGTGCAGCTTGGGTGTTTCCAGGCTGAAACAGGCGTCGATTCCACAGAAGAGCAGGATGGAGAAGATGATGGAGAAGTCAGCCACCAGGGCCCGGACCTGCAGAAAGGAGGGCCAAGTGAGATAAGCAGCTTCCTGGTTCACTCCAGACTTCACCCTCAGGCACACAGAGGAGCGATGCCTGGAGCTTGGACTCTTGAGGCAGCATATCTTGAGGCAGCAGACCTTGCCCCAGATCTCTCCTACAGACTTCACCCTCAGGCAGACAGAGGAGCGATGCCAGGCGCGTGGACTCTTGAGGCAGCATATCTCACCCCAAATCTGCCCCATGCTGGCTGCGCGTCTCTGGAAAAGCCTTGTTGTCACCTCACTGAGCTTCCGTTCCCTCTGTGAGATGACACTATCTCATGATATCTATGAACGCAGCCATCTCAAAGCCATCAGCGAGCTGTGACACATCCAGTGGCTGACACAGTGGTCACAAAAGGAGCTGAGCTGTGACCTGAGTAAGCTGGAATCCAAGAACGTAATCTTTTCCCATCTTCCCAGGAATCATGAGTTTTCTGCCTTTGATAGCATCACTCTCCCCTCGCTTGCTTTAGTAGAAAATATTTGCATTTCCTTTCTCTAACTTGCTTCTGCCTTACCTAGAGTCCAGCTTTTACGATACTATCTTTGTGGTGGTGGCAGCCTGAACTGGACCATCCACCAGGTATGTTGAGGGCAACGGCTGAATGTGGAAGGAGATCCTAGTTCCTAAAAATGTGCGTTGGACCATTGCACTCCCACTGGGGCAGAATGGTGGACCTCACGTTCTATGGGACCAGACCTCTTATCCGGTCCCTCTGCTCTTTGCCTCTTTCTTTTCAGGAAGGCTTCCTAGGCCAGGTTCTGGACCTCACCTCCCTGTCCTTTCAGAACCCATGCCCTCTGAATACTTTCCATGCAAGTCAACAACGCAAGACTCAGGACAGAGGAGAGTCCCCTTAAGTTTATGCCATGACCCCTTTTGTAGCTAATATTCAGGGGTCACCACTGCTAGCAACACTACTAGAGAAAGTAAAAAGGGTTGGGAGAGGAGATGACTTCAATGCAGCCACTCAATCTACTCTGACACACCACAGAGGAGTGTAATCGCACACTCTGTAACTTAACCCTTTGTAACAAAGGGAATTCTGCTATATTACAGATCTAACATGAACTAGAAAAACAAAGACTTGAAGGTAACTTTTGTCCGATATTTTCCTTAAGAAACACATTTATGCCTTTCACTGCATGGTACAACCAACAATTGTTAACCAAAAGATAGCATTACGAAAATTATAAAAACCTGCTGACAGAGAAGGTCTTTGAAAAGCATATGACCACAAAAGGGGGCTTATATAGAACATATACAGAATTCTTCTTGAAAATGAGAAAGAAAAAGATAATATAATAGACTGTCCAAGAGATTCAAGCAGCCACTTCCGAGAAGAAAGTCAAATGGCCATCTGGCACATAAAGTCTTCAACCTTGTTTGTCACTGGAGAAAAGAAGCCAATTAAAACCACAAAATATTTGAAACATGTTGTTGTTACTGTGTTCTGTCGAGTCAGAACCAACCCAGCATTGACCCTCCAGTGGGTTTTCAGAGGCAGGTGACCACCAGGAGAAGGTTGCCCATTCTTCTCCCATGGAGCGGCTGGTGGATTTGAACCGGTTCCTTCGGCTGTCAGTGCAACTTCTTACCATTAAGCCACCATGTCATTGTTAGGTGCCGTTGAAATGCGTAGGGCTCATAGTGACTTTATAAACAACAGTTCTGAACCCTGTCCTATCCTGCGCCACCTTCACTATCTCTGACACACTCAAGCCCAATGCCACAGCCACTGTGTCTGGCCTCCTGGCCAAGGGTCTTCCTCTCTTTCACTGACCCTCCACTTTCCCAAGCATGATGTCCCTCACCAAGGAATCACCTATTCTAACAACATGCCCAAAGTATGTGAGACGAAGCTTCTTCATCTTTTCCTCCACCTGTCAATATGAAATGTCATCAAGGGGATTGAACCCTGTTTCCTCTGACTCTAGAGTCCGTGGTCTTCCTGCCCCAAACAGAACCTTGGCAAACCTTGACAGGTTGGCTTTGACATGGTGTTGATCCCGTCAGAGAACCACCTTTCTGGACCGCAGGGTGAACTTACCTTGGTAGGGAAATAGCGGCTGAATTTGAACTTCTTCAGGGTCAAGGTCATGGAGTATGTCCCGAAGAAAAGGATAAAGGACATGAGCGCCAGGTCTGGGACGAACTGGCAGGAGTTCCCGAGCAGGCGGCCACCGTAGCTGAGACACTCTTTCTTGCTCAGCAGGGACCAGTCCAGGCCTGTGAGGTTAAGGGGGTTGTACTTGGAGACCAAGCACAGGAAAGAAAGGGTCAGGGTCTTCCTGGCAGGTCAGGGGTGCCCAAGCCTGGCCTCGCCCAATCCATAGTCGCTAGCCAGCCCCTATTCCCGCCATTGCCCTCTGAGATATGCTAGCCCTCCAGTCTGTGTCCTCAGTGAACCAGTGATACTCCTGGGGACAGTTCTGCTCCTAAAAGGAGTAAAGGCTGACACATTGCTTCACTGTGCCCTGGGCCCCCCTGCTTTGCTGGCAAGAGGGGAAAAGAGCAGGGGAAATGCCTTCTCCCCCAGCGGCCAGGCTCCTGACACAGCCGCAGGACCCGGAAGTCCTTCTGCCCAGAGCATCCCCCGCTGACTCCTCCTTCCTTTCTTTTTTTCCTTATCACACTAGGGCTCACACCCTTCCACCCTGCACCCTTCCAGGTCATTTCATCCATCTCTTCCTGGACACACACACACACACACACACACACACACACACACACGTCAAGTAGATTCACAGGGACAAGAGCAGATAGAATGAAAGTGCCCTGGAGGTTTCCAAAGGCTGCCAATTCTTTTGTTTTGTTTTTCCAACCCCTAGCCCCAATTCACTCTTCTCCTTGAAAAGTAAAAGAAAAATTCTGTCATTGTTATGCAGTCCCTCCCCCAAGTCCACTCCACTGTGCAAGAAGGCTGCGAATTCTTATGGTAGCAGACTGCCTCATTGTTAATAAGCTGTGACCTCAACTACTGAAACCGGAAGAGCTACGGTGATGCCCAGCCACCACCACTGGCCCCTCTGACCAGGGGCACAACAGGTGATCCTGGCTGAATGGAAGAAAAATCCAGAACAAGACTCAAATTCCTAAAAATGAACAGCCTAACGGACCCACCTGAAACCTGAGAACTCCCGAGACTCGCACTCAGATCCTCTTTAAACTGTAACCCAAAAACTACCTTTAAGACCAACTTTTAACAGAAAAGCAGGGAGACACAGAAAATAAAGGAGATTACTGGTCAGATGAATACTCTACTGAAGCAATGCCCATGTGAGTCCAAAGGTCAACATTTAACCCAAAGCAAAGATGAGGAGACACGGGGCAGGGAACTGAGATTCCTGGAATCAGAAGAGCCAGAATGAATCAGTCTTGTATGAGAATGTCAGCCTAGTATAGAAAGCATAACTAATGCAATTGGTCATTGTGTGGAAACTATTAAAGAGGAATGTAATTTGCAATTTGCACAGTAAACTTTTACTAAAAACATTGTTATGAGGGGAGCTCTGGTGGCCTAGTGGCAAGGAGCTGCAACTACAATCCCAGAGGCACACAGTTCGAATCCACCAGATGCTCTGCCGGGGAAGGAGGGACAGTCTCCTCCTGTACCAGTCAGATGTGATTTGACGGTACACACACACACACAACACAAAAAAAACCCCAAAAACATTGTTATGTACCTTTGAGTTGCTTGCAACTCATAGCCCCCCTATGTATGCCCTGAAACCTGCCCTCCCTATGCTGTGAATTATTTTTTTATAAAGATTATAGTCTAGAAACATTCTAGGGGGAAGTTCTACTCTGTCATATGGGGTGCTATGAGTTGAATGGATGTAACAGCACACACATACACACACACATGCACATACGCACAGTGAATAGAATAAGGCATGCTAAGATACATTTTGGGGAGCTTTGGTGGCCCAGGGGTAAGAAACTATGCTGTAATCACAAGGGCATGTGGTTCAAACTCAGAAGCTGCTTTACAGGAGAAGGATGGACAATCCCCTCTCATGAGATTAACTGCCTCTGAAGACCTGCCAGGGAGTTTAGCAGGAGTTGGTTCCAACTTAATGGCACATAACAACAACAAGACACGTTTACCTCCAGTGCAAGTATGCTTCCCAAAGCTCAGCACGCAGTGCCAGTGAGCATCTGGGGTTCAGGAGCAGTAGGACCTCTTCAACTTGGACTGCCAGAAGTGGACCACAGTTTCCCAACTCTTTCCTCATGCCCTATGCCCCCCCAAAAAAAAACCCCACAAGTACTTAAAGCTCTGACATGAGAGAACTTGACTTACCACAGAAGTATTGGTGTTTGGTGTTGATGAGGCTGAAGCATTGAACACAGAGGCATTCACTGTGGATGAGCACAGACATGGGCATGGTCAATGACACTGGTCAGAGCCAGCAGTGCCCGCCTGGCACCCGCCCTTCCCCCGACTGCCCTTCAACAGTGGAGCTGAGGACTGGTTGTAGTTCTAAGCACCACACCCCTATCACTTTCTCTACTTTACTCAGGTGCCAACAAAGGCAGAGAAGGGTGGGAAGGAGCAGGCCACAGCTGAATGGGACAGTTACTACCTGATACTTAGGGGTGGCACTGAAAATGGAAACCTGAAGTCCAGTGCTCAGACAAAGCTGCAGTCATGAGGATGAATAATGTACCTTGTGAGTTCCTGTAGTCTAAAAGACATTTTTTTTATCTTTAATTATTTGCCAAGGGTTTCTCCAGTCCACACATTGTGTCAAACCCTTAGACACATTCTCTTTGATATCTCTATTGAAGTGTCCCCACTTGGCAGGATAGAAAATTCCACAGTTCAGTCACTAGTCTGTTGCCCAAGGGCTCACAGCTTGCACTTGGTGGAGCCAAGATCCCATCACCCACCCTCCCAGTTCTTGGTGGAGAGCTTCCCGTGCTGCTCCCCTCTAGACTGGACCTTCACCTCCCACATCTGTCCATTCATGCTTTATTTCAGTTGGACTATAATAAAGTAAACACTTGTTGACTTGGATATGATCTCCGCTCATTTCCCTCTGGACCTGAGGGAGAAGCTGAGCTCAAAGCTTCTGTTCTTGGTTGTGGTCCCCGTCTCCCTTGTCCAGGCTGTCACCTTCCCTTGACCTCAGCACAGGAGGAGACCCTGCAGGGGCCACAAGGAAAGCTGCAGCAGGTGGCCAGTGCTGTCCACTCACAGGGACCCTCCACACAGCAGAGCGAAGCCCTGCCCGCCTCGCATGTGCACAGCTGGACTTTGGCTGCTGCTTCAGCCTCTGCATCAGCCCAGCTCGTTGAGGGCTGTCCACTCCCCGCTGAGCCTCTACAATGAGAAGGGTCCAGGAGACCCAGTTCCTGACTTCTGTTTCTTCGGGGTGTTTCTATTCCTCCTTGGCTTGTCTCCTTTATCTTCCACTCCCACCCTCCATGAGAAAGCCCATCATCTGCAGGGAAGGACTGCTAGGCTATCTAACTGGTCGTTTAAGAGAGGTTAGGAGGGAACCACTGGCCGCTTCCCTTGCTCCCAGGTGGCGGGATGGGGGAGTGACAGCTGACTGGCCAGGTCCACTGCAGCAAGTGCGGGAGGTTGCTTCTCCAAAGCCTGCTTGTTGCTGAGAACTCTCAAGTCCACTACAGGCTTCAGTTGGCTCTGCTGGTTGTCCAGGTGGCCTGGAACCCATGAGGTGCTTGTTAGGGGCTGTCGAGTCCAACTCTTACCAAGCCTGTGGGTAGCAGACGTGAGCCTGTCCTGTGGCACCCTCGACCCCCGATGAGCCTGGGCTGCTGGAGTACTGTGTAAGCCCGTCTCATTGAAGGTCTTCCTCTCCTTCACTCATCTTCCACCTCCCTCGGTATGACATCCTTTTCCGAGGACTGGCCCCTCCTGACATCACGCCCCCAGTATGAGATGAAGTGTCACTATCTTTGCCTCCAAGGAGGGCTCCGGATGAACCTTCTCCAAGACACATCTTTTTGTCCTTCCTGCAGTCAATGTGGATGAAGGTGAAGTTAATATTTATTTTCTTTAAGCGTTTTTGCAGAATGAGGTTATTCCCAAGAAGAACAACCCAGGAGGAAGATGAGGTGATTCCCAAGGCTTTCTCCACCTTCCAACAAGCTTCCCACAAGGGTGCAAAGAACCACCAAGCCCCTACGATGTGGCTGACTTGCAAGGTGGTCGGGGTGGTCAAGGAATTTGGTCTGACCCAAGGCAGAACATTCCTGGACCTTCCACAAGCCCTGTAGGCTTGTTGCTGTTGTTCTAAAGACAGTCTTTGAAGTGGCGGTAGCACTGAGTGTTGGTGGTTCCACTCATGGTGACTCCGTGTGCAACAGAGCAGACATCGCTGCATCCTGCACCCCCATCCTCACAGCTGTGTTTGAGCCACTGTTCCAGCCACTGCATCAGCCCATCTCCTCCAAGGTCTTCTCTTTAGCGGTCTCCCTACTTTACACAGCATGTGGTCCCTCTCAGGTGCATGAGATGAAGTCTCACCATGCCTAGTTCTAATTTGCTAGTCTTCAGTTCCTCACTGTCTGGCTTTTGCATGCAGAGGAGATGACTAAAAAGACCAGAATTCGGACGAAGGCACATACATCCTAAAGCTCAGGGACATCCTTGTTGCATAACTCTTTCCAGATGTGCCCAATGCAGTGTTTGATTTCTTGATGGTCGCTTCCGTGGGTGGGGGCTGTGAAAGCTTGAGGAGTCTGTCAGGGATGTGCCAAGGAGTGGGTGCAGAGGACTCCAGAGCACTGCCCCGGGGCTGCCCACGAGTGCTGGAGGTGCCCTCGCGCCGGGGTGTTGCCATGTCTTGCAGGACCAGACATTCCTGCAGAGCCTTCGTTTTAGGGTCACTTGTCCCTTCACATGGAGACACCTGAGGGTTCTGCCTTAAACCCACTTTAAAACAGAGGTGGGAGAACTACAGCACGGGGAAACACCACAAAGGTTCCACATCTCCAACACCTGAACACTCAAGTGTTCACAGGGCGGTACTCACTTGGGATGGACAGCAGCCATGCCAGCGTGCAGCGTCAACAAACAGAACGCAAATCAGTTACAAGAGAAACGAAAGGAACAGAGTATCCATCACAATGACGCGACTAAGGAGGGGACAGCTTCGCGTGGAGACGTGAGTGTGCACGGAGGGCTGAGGGAGCAAGTGGGGACTGGGAGCTCTCCTGCTGGATTTGCCTGCAAACCTAAAGCTGCTCTAAAGTCAAATATTCTTTTAAGAAGAGAGAATGAGCGCACGCTCCGGGCCTCATGTTCAGGCAACGAAGAGAGACAAAGGTAATGTTTTGGGCCCACGTTTTGCAATAAAACTGTAAACATGGACCAAACGGTAAGCACGTGGCTCATGGCCTGGGAAGGAAATGACCCGTTACCTGCCCTCTCCTGGGTCACCTAGACGTCTAAATCTCCCACCCCGCGTTCTCCCAGTCACCCTGGATTTGTTCTTTTCAGTCCTTTGTTCTCTGTGTAGAAACCGAACACCTGATTCTGCCAGCCCTGGTGGCTAATCCCTTGGGTCGTAAAAGTGAGTGATGTGCTATGCTGCTAACGGGAAGGTTGGAGGTTCAAGGCCACTTGGAAGCATGCCCTGGTGACCTACTTGTGAAAAAAAAAATCAGAAAACTATTTCTATTCTCATGTGCATGAGGCCACCACGTTGTTGTTGACTGTTGCTGAGTCGAGCACAACTCACAGCGACCCTGTGAACAAAGAACCTAAATAAAGCCTTCCGATAACTATCGTTCCTCAAAGTTCAGTTTCCAGAGGCACGTTGTTTAGGAAGTAGCTGCCTTTCACCATAGGCTGATGTGAACTCAGCAGTTGGGGTGTTGTTTTTCTTTCTTAGTGGTGATAACTTTCTAATCCACCAGCCACCCTGCCAGACGAAGACGGACAGTCCCCTCTCGTGCCGCTCACAGGCTCTGAGAACCTGCTGGAGGCTCCGTGAGGAGTTGGCTCCAACTCCACAGTGAGGACGCGGACGTTCCAAGAGCGCGCGCAGCTGAACAGCGGTTCTCAGACTTTAACAAGCCCCCGAAGCACCTGGAGGGAGGGGACGACGCTGCTGGCTGGGCCCCAGCCCAGAATGCCCGATTCAGTGCATCCTGAGACGTCCACTTGCTGGGATGGACTGGCACAGCAACTTCAACAGCGGAAGGCAGCACAACCGAGGCCGTGGGGACAACAGCACAGGGTCAGGCAGTGTCTGGGTCAGCACACATGGCCACTGTGAGTCGGCGCTGACCCCACGGTTCCTAACACGTCGCGGTGCTGCAGCCTCGTCTACAGAGCACACTTGGAGCGATCCAAACGGGTGCAGGTAACAGGTGGTCGTCAGCAGCCCTTCAAACGCACCTCCGTGCTCTCATGTCACCATCGCTGGCTCTGGGCTGCTCCCTGGACAGAGAATTCTTAGAATGGCCAACGCCACGCATCTGAGCTCAGAATCTGAGTCGTTGCTAAGAGTTCAGGAGCGCGCACTTCTAAAAGTCACAAGAGTGAGAATGTCTGTTCAAGGCAATGGCTCCAGATGGAGGAGTGTTAACAGCAAAAGCAACGACTCACAGAGACAGCATCTGCTCTGGGGCTGGGATCCAAAGGCCAGCAGGCAGCTGCAGAGTGTTCGCATTCAGGACAAAGGACATCATTGGCTTGCCATGGGAGAACTCAAAACTGCCAGGGGAAGAAACAAAAAACCCTGAGCCTAGACTTTATACACCTGGGGCGGTGACGGAGGGAGCGGGACACTCAGACGTGAACTTCAGGAGGGCTGGGCAACGTCACCCTCCACAAGTCGCATTTCAAGCACAGGGCAAGGCCCACTTCTCTGCTTGGCAAATGCTTGACATTCCCTTTGGATTCATGTTCTCTCGGTATTATCAGCTGAACAATTCCGTATCTACCTGTTTCCTCCAACCTAACCTGTCATGCTCCTTAGAAGCGAGGGCGGAGCAGCTTGGTCTCACATCCTGTGAACGTGTTCTCAGGACGGGCCAGTCTTTGGAAAGGACACCACGCTGGGCAAGGTGGAGGGTCAGAGACAGAGACCCTCAGCGAGATGGAGGGACAAAGCGGCCACCCCAACGAGCTCAGGCAGAGCAGAGATTTCCAGGATGGCACAGGACAGGGAGAGGTCTAGATCTGCTGTTCACAGGGTTGCCATGAGGACATAACAACAGTCAGAATCTCGGGATGGATTTGGAAATGGCACAAGATGAGCACGGCCAGAATGGAATCCTTTTTCCTTGACATCTGGAGAAACTGAAGCTTGACACAACTCTGGCCTAGACGGCTTGTGGTGGGCCCAGCCTCGATGTGCTCGGTATGTGCTCTATAGACATCGGGACGCTCTGCTAACGGCTGTTAGACTCCCCACTGTCGAGTCGGATCCGGCTCAGCGACGTCCGTCAGGTTTCTGAGGCTGTTTGTCATTAACAGAGGGACCGGACAGCTGCTGGATTTGAACCGGTAACATTTCGGTTAGCAGCACAACACAGAACTCACTACACCACTACCACGGCTCCCTGCAGACCCTGAGGGGCATAATGCTGAGGCCGGGGCTTCAGACGAAGTGAGCAGCTCACATCCCAAGGCCTACTGTACAGGTGACAAGTTTTTGTTTGCATTTGGGGTTTTCTTTGGTCCAGGAATGAACTCCATGGCAAAGGCCCTGAGTGTGACCAGGGTGATGAGACGCCCCCATCCAGTGATGGAGTAACTTGTCACAGTTCTCTTGGTGGACGGCCACCAGCTGGTGTTCAAATAGCTCACGAGGACCCTCGATTCCCATGGTGGCTGCTCCCATCACCATGAATTCTTCCCTAAGACCAGTCAGCATCTTGGTGCCTGGACCTTCTGTTCCTCCGTCTTCATTCTGTGTCCTGTCCCCTGTGGAACACCACTGTCCTTTTCTCCTACCCCAATGTCCCCAAGAAGCAGGTTCTCTAACTCCCGGTTCTGTAGCCTTCTCAGGGGACATGGCTTCAGTCCCCCCCGTGGCCAGTCCTCTCCAGGGCATGCTCCTGCTGGGATGGAAGCCCCTGGTGCCGCTTCTCTGGGTGAAAGGGCAGGGCGGGGGCCTGGGTCAGGGAGCACTCGTGGAACGAGGAGGAACTTTAGTACCAGCAGGTCTGCCTTGGACGAGGCAGACACCCCGGGCAGTGTTCCTGACAGATGCAGCACCCCCTCACCCTCGAGGCAACGCCTGCTGCCTTCCCTGCCTGAGACATCCCGCCTGGTTACGCCCTGGCTCCTGGTGACCCCGGGGGGGCTACCATCCCATCGACCTTCTACACAGGACACAGGACCCTGCGCTGACCGCGTCCACTGAACGCCTGGCTTGCACAGCATTGGTTTGGCTCACCAGGTCCTCCCAAGAAGGCCCACCTTTTCTGTACTGGAGAAGATGGTGGGCAGGTGGGTGGATGGGGCCCCGAGGCATATCTGGGGTTACCGGTCACCTGGGTCGGGGGCGACACACTCGCACTTGTAGGTGGTGATGGAGTTGGGGGTGAAGTCCATGTTGATGGGGTAGTACTTGAAGGCACCGATCATCTTCTTGATGGCGTCGTAGATGAAGATGAAGCTGATGAGGGTGGAGAAGCCTTCCTCGGTGAAGCGGGTGATGTACTTGATGATGAAGCTGGCGTCCGTGGCCACCAGGATGAGGCACTGGAGCGCCGAGTGCAGGCCAATCCAGAGCCGGAACTCCATGTAGTCCAGGCCGTTGCCTCTGGAAGGCAGAGAACGGGCAGCTGCCTCCAGTCCAGGGCTCCCCAGACCCACCCTGCGGGACTCAGCCTCCCCTCCAGCACCCCAACTCTACCCGACCTCCTCCAAAGGAGGAGAGGTGGGGGGCAGAATCCCTCCATGAGACTGGCTAATCTCTGAGGATTACAAGAAAGAAGGGAGGGGCTAAGATGCCTCAATTCTTCTGTGTTTACTAACATCCCCAGATGGTAAGGAAAACAGAATCTCATGACAATGACACAGGGTGGGAACGTGCCTTGGGAAGGATCTCACCCACACCTTCAGGCTGTCCATGAGACAGCCGGCCTGGAGGGTGCGGGTGATGTGCTGGGTGATGTGCCGGTCTCTAGCCCAAGGCCTTGGATGACATCACTGACTCCTAAATCCTCATGAGTCCGGAGCAGCATGGTTTACCTCCGCTCCTCTAGTTCTGCAAGACTATGCTAACATGCTCCCCAAGGCAGGTAGCTGGAACCATTGTTAGGTACTGTGGGGTCTTCAGAGGCAGCGAATCACACGGGAGGAGGCTGTCCTCCTTCCTCCCTGCGCAGCTGTGGATGCCAACTGCATGCCTTTGGGTTGGCAGCACAACTCCTCACCACTCAGCCCCACCCGGCTCAGGGAGTCAGGAGAACATAATATCCTCCCTCCAGCCAAGCCCAGAGCTCCAGGGGCTTTGGGGCATCTCTGCCCACCTTGGGGTGAGTCCCCCAGCCTAGACTTTGCTGGACTGCTCTGGGCTTGGCCCCAGGATCAGGGCAGGTTCCAGGGGCCACCTACTTGCTGAAGTCGAAGAGGAGCTTCTCAAAGATGAGGATGGGCCCCGTGCTGCTGAGGATGATGAGAGGCTGTCCCGAGAGGAGGCAGAACAAGGAGCCGGCCATGGCAGTGCCCAGGAAGCTCTCCATCACGCCCTGCGGCACACAGAGCGGAGGCTCAGGGGGTGGCAGGCGCGGGGCGTGGCGGGCTCACGGTGTCCAGATCCCTCTCCAGGGAGCAAGGGCACAGTGCTCGCTCGGCCGTCAGTCTTTAGCTTCTGTGGCTTCTCTCTCCTGAACCCACTGCGACCAACAGATACGCGCACCCTCGTGCCCAGTGAGCCCATCCCAGGGGACAGCTGTTCGCCTGTCCAATCATCTATTCGCCCAAACACGTTCGGTGCTTATCCTATCCGGGAAGCTAAAGCATTCATCCATTCTGCATCCACCAGGTGCCTACTAGGTAGTACGCACTGTGCTGGACAGTGAGGGCCCATCACTCAACAAGGTAATACGTGTTCAGGTGAACGGCAGGTGCGGCTGGTTCCTCAAGCTCAGCACTGCTGACGTCCTTTGCTAACAGGGCTGCCTCTCCGTTGTAGGGTGCCTCGCCACATCTCACGCCCGCAAGCTGCCAGTACCACCCCCCAGTTTTAACAGCTACAATCGTGTAGACGTTGTCAAATGTCTTCTGGGGTAAAGACTGCCCTTGACTAAGAGGCACAGCCCTGGTGCACGAGGCAGGCAGGTGTCACAGGCAGGAAAGGAGGAGTGAGTGTGTGGTTAGGGAGGCTGCCCGGGAGGGAGGAAGGTGGAGCCAGAGAGAAAGGAGGAGAGCTTTGACCAGAGGATTCGAGCAGATGGAGAAATGAGGGGAGGTCCCAGGAGAGGGGACGAGGTGGACGAAGGCTGGAGCTCAGGAGCTGCCTCGAAGGCACTGAGATGACAAGGACTGGTGGGCAGCGGTGTGGAAGGCCACTGTGTGCGGTGAGGAAGGCTGGGAACGGCATGTGGGGAAGGGGCTCGAAGGCAAGTGGGGAGGCCCCACGGGGAAGGGGGTTACCTGAGTCATGGAGGATGCCTAGCTCCTGGAGAGGAGGGGGTACGGGCGAGGGTGACCCCAGGACTACTCTCTGGACTGGTTTGAAGGGAAGGTGAGGAATACCATGTTGGCCGTGTGAGTTTAGGGGATCCCAAGGAGGAGGTATGGGGATTTGCCCAGGAGGGAGCTGGACGCTACACTCAAAGCTCAAGAGAGGTGTGGGGACAAGCGCCTCTCGGGAGGGAGTGGGATGGGGCTCCTTCATCGCGGGAAGGACAGAGGGTGTGGAATGGAGACAGCTTCTATGCAGGAGACACGTGTGGGGTGGAGACAGCCCACTGTCAGGACAGGTGTGGGATGGACACAGCCTCAGCTCAGGAAGGACGGCATGAAGCCACCCTCCTCTCAGGACAGGTGTAGGTGGAGACAACCTTGATTTAGGAGCGGTGTATACAGTGGAGACAGCATGTCTCAGGACAGGTGCGGGACATCTCAGGAGGTTTGAGATGGACCCAGCCTTTTCTCAGGAAAGAGGGGGGTTGCAGACACACTCACGTCCATGTGCTTGGGAAGTGAGTCTTTCCCTTGGTGTTCCGAGCTTCCCAGGCCCCAGGAAGGGGCCTAGCCTTTCCGCTGAGCTGACATCACACTACGAAGCCTGTTTCTATCCTGACAGCAGCTTACAAACCTTCTAAAAACATCTTCAACTCCAAGTCAAGAATGCACTATTAGTTTTGTTTTCTTTTAAAGTTCCATCAAACTAGCAAGAACAATTCAACTAACTGGAGTTAGTACCAATTAAGTTCCTTCAAACAGCGGTGGAAAAACTGGCCAGCAACAAAGCAGAAGTTGCCTAAATTCAGTTTATCCTAACATTCTTTTGCTTCAGATCTTTTAATGACGTTCTGTGGTTGTTTTTACGTGCCCTCTAGTTGCCTGAGACTCCTGGCCACCAAATGCACACCATCTCAGAACCCTGCCCTGTCCTGAGCCCACCGCACTGCCTCTGACTCCCCTGCCTCCGACCCCAGGCTGAGCGTGGACGTCCCTGGCTCACCTGCCCCTGACCCCAGGCTGAGCGTGGACGTCCCTGGCTCACCTGCCCCTGA